TGTTAAACTTTGGGGTTTCAGTCAAATGTTAAATTAAATTGTTAGCTGCATCTAAGGTTCTTTCTTTTTAACCCAAAATATGTGACCCTAAACTGCCACTTAAATGAAAACTATACAACTGTGGAGTTTTTTTTTATGTTACCCTCTTCCTTTAAAGGGTAACTCCACTTTAAAAATATAAAAATGAAAAAAACATTTTTTAAATTGTTGCAGAAGCCATTTTGTAATGCAATATTGATAAAAGTTACTTTTCCATTTAAAACAGTAGCTGCTGCTGACGGATGTTCTAAATCTGTTAAAAACCTTCAATATAATATGGTGACCTGGAGGTGTTCTGTAGACAGTTGGTGTACAGAACTCCCCCAGAAATGTCACTTCCTGCTTCTGTGATTGGCTGACTGATTTTCCCAGATATCTGTACTAAGATACAAGTATACTTTTTTGCATCCCTTGCAAAAGGAATTTCATCTTTGGTGAGATACTCCTTAATGGTTAATTATTAAAGGAATGCACCTTTCCCTATTACAACACAGGAAGCCACCAGCTGGTTATAATGAACACAGATCCTCCCAAGGATTCAGGGATCAGCTTGGAAAGGACATGCTGCAACAAACAGATTTTTCTTCAGAACAAAAACTGGTAGGAAATTGCAACAGAGGTTGTTAAAATCCTTGTAATGTACATTGATCACACAGAGAGGATTGATTTTTTTCTCAACTAAAGTGGAATTACTGTTTAAATTTACTCCCCCAGCACCCATTTGTCTCTCTATGATGCTGCCAAGTCGACACTATAAGGCCCACAGCCCTCTCTGCAAACTCTCTGGCCAGCCCGTGTTTCTTCTGTGCATGCCTAGAGAAAATCCCATACATTTCTTTGGACAGGTCATCTATTAAGTGCAACTGGGGAATAAATGTGATATTTATGGTCATGTGCAAAAGAAGGGAGGAGCTGGCTGAAGAGTTTGCAGCAGCAGCAGCTATGATATGAACCAAGCGTGTTAAAAAAGTGGAGGAAAAAAAGTGAAGAAAACCTATGAAGGCACAACCAGGGTGCATAATACAAAGTAAGAAAGTTTCTGGTGACAACTACAATTAACCATGTAGAAAATAAGGACGCACAAGAACAAGTCATGATTTATGTGTAAAGTGCCAATACATTTGTAAATTTTAGTACGTTCTTACAAAAAATCTACTCAGAACTTTCAAAAGTGCCATCAGAGAATTGACAAATGTTGTTCATAATTTTATTTAATTTTAACATTCAATTTTGGAATGAATGGAGTTTCCGCAACAAAAACCACATTCACTGTTAGAAGTTTGTTCATTTAAGAAAAAAATTCCATCCTGCTCCTATTTTTTTTTTTGTCACTGTGATTTAAGTCGATCACTGATTTGACTACATTACCAATTGTAAAATTGAACAAACGTTATGAATAATGATTTTTTTCAAACTAAGTTCAACTGGTGTACGGCCAGCTTAAGTTGAACATGAGCTGACTGTGTTGGCCTTGGAGGAGAAAGCAGTGCTGGATCAGTGATTACAAGCAGTAATGAAGCACAGATTCCATACTTTCATTACAATGCACAGCACACACAGCAGGTGTGTTGCCACATTGCACAAGTGTAAATGGGCCCATAAAGTTTGTGCCTTCACTCTTTATAACAACTGTTGAATAAAAATTCAACACACAAATTCATTAAAAAAAAATACACAACAAAACCCCCCACACATGTAGCTACACACATTTTTTGACAGCCTGGGTGTAAATTTGGGATATTGCTGTGTCTGGTAACACAGAAAGGGGGAAAAGGATGGTGTCCTTCTGAGTCATTCAGCTGCTTATTTTCAGCAAAACAGCCACATGAAGAACCAGTAGGGAGAACCTAGCTTTGGCACTGGCTGAAAGTGGGTAATATAAATTATCCAGTAATATTGAATATTTCCCTGTTGAAAAGGAAGTTATTACCAAAATATATTAACTATAATAAAGGGGAAAATATATATATATATTTTGTGTCCTATTAAACTAATTTTATTACCTCTGCTGACACATCAAACAGACTAGTCAGAGGGAAACCAACATAACGTTCCGTTTAATTCATCTGAGAAAATGACTGATAACATTAGCAAATCCCTGGTTCAATAAAATGTACCTGATAGCAACCTAGCATCAGAAATAGGTTTCATGTTAAGTGCATGTATGCTAAATGTGTCAGTTTAACACTTGCAGTTATTTATTGCATCTCAAAGAGATTGCAGCACCCCTAACTATGAATTAATCTCCCTTTCTACCCAGAATGCTGACACCCCATTTGATCAGCCATCAGTCATGTAAATCCTTGTGCCTGTGCAGCAGCCTATGTTCCAGATTGTGTCTCCCACAAATTAGACCCATGATGCTGTTCCTCAATTTCTAACTTGTAACAAAGAGATCCACAAATCATCTCTGAATTGGTGCTGATCCTGTCCTTCCTTCCAGAGGGTGGCTACTTTTGTTCCCCATGGTCCCTCACATTTAGTTTGCTATTATGTACTGATATTGTAGTCTGACAGAAGCAAGCTTGGAGCAGTGGCCACCCTCCAGAAAGAAAGAAAGTGTCAACACAGTTTCAGGCTGGGTTCACACCATTTTCCGGACCAGATCTGGAACATAGTGCATTGCGGTTTTGCTGCGTTTTTACTGCGATTTTGCAGTATTTTGGAATCTGAATTTTTTGGGTTTATTTATTTTTTTTAGCTTAAAATGGTCTCACAGGTGGGTTCCATGCGTTTTGTTGATGCGTTCCAGTGCATTCCAGACCAGACAAAATAGGACAAGAAGTATTTTTCTGGTCTGGTATGGACTGCGCTGGTGAGAACAGAGGCCAGAAATAGCATAGGAATACATTGGGATGCATTTTGGGTCCAGAAACAGTCTGGTCTGGTCTAGAGGTAATCTAGATGTGGTGTGAATGGGCCCTCAGAGATGATTTGAGGATCTAGAGCCAGTACACAAATAAGTTACATTTTTGTTTATAGTTAAGTTACTTGAATGCTTTTTTTAAGATTTAACTCCTGAGCTTAGTGCCACTTTAATTTTACCATCTAGTGGCTTTGTTCCTGTCCAAGAATGTTTGTCTACCAACTGGTCTGGCCACAGGGAGCCAATTCAAGGCTCTGGTCTGGGGGAAAAACATGTTGCGTGGTAATGCTCACTCCATGTTCTGTATATGTAATCCTAATATACAGTATATGTATCAGGGGTATTTGAAGGACTCAGAGGACATACTCAGTGAAACTCTGATATAGGGATACAGGTGAGAATCTAGCATATTAGGTATCTGTGTTAGAATGGTCACCTGACCACACTGTATCCAAAGTGCACAAAACAAATGTCAGTGCTTAGTTTTGCTAAAAAGCAAAACTGATCAAATGTGTTTCTTCTGCTATTATATTAGAATAGTTGTAATTTATTTGTGCATTCTTACTGGGTTGGACCACCTACATGCAGCTCTTACTTGTTATAAGCTAATTAGACACTTTTTCCCTTAAGACTGTGCACATATCAAGTCTACAGAACCGCTGTATGCTAAACACTGAGGTATAACAGTGATAAGAGGCGGACAAATAAACAATTGAAGATAAAAGCAAAGTCCTGAAATTGTTTTTAACAAAATGTTATCCAAACTTCTGACTCATCAAAAATAGCCACCTAACACCTGAACACAATTGCAGCATTTTTTCCATTTTTAATGTAAGGAAAAGTACTTAAAGTTTACGCAGTTGCAGAAGTTCCTACAAATGTTTTGCACTTGTAAGTTACTTTGCTTTCACACTTCTGTCCAGTCCATCCCAAAGCAGCTCAACAATATTTGGATTTTGTGCTGGTGAGTCTATGATTTGAAACCTAGTCTTGTTATTTTCTTCTGAGGTAGTTCTAGCCTGGAGACATATTCTGGGACATTATCTTGCTTTGGGATTACCCCCTGTTGAATTAGGAGTAGACCAGAGTGTACTGCTAAATGTTGTAGTAGGTTATTTTGTTCAGGGTGTCAGTCACTGTGTAACTGTGTCAGCAAAAGAGCCCCAGACCATGATGCTTCCTCCTCCATGTTTCACACATTGAGAAACCGTCCATTTTTCTTCCTTGTTGGTGTGCAAAATCCCTGTGTGATGAACTTAAATTTGATTAACTGGTCCACAAGGCCTTCTTCATTCTTCAGTAATGCAGATATGCCTCTTTTTCTCATTTTGCCATTTTACCAGGGACTTTCCTCCTGCCACCAGGCAAACATGCAGCTCAAAGTCTGCTCTTCACAGCTGAAAGTGAGACTTGCTATTAAATAGCTCCATATTAATGTATTTTGTTGTATAAAGGTATTTTGTTCAAGTAAGCTTTGATTGCATTATCAAAAACAACTATAGTATGTATTCCTATTACATTGCTGATGTTATAGCAGGATAGTTAGTATATGCTGGGACTTTGGAACTCCTTTAATTTTGAAAAAGAGTGAACAGAAGAAGGTAGCTGGACATTCATGCACCATGCACACACTAAATGCCAAACACTGAAGTATAACTGTGATAATAGGCGGACAAATAAACAATTGAAGATAAAAACAAAAACACAAAATCGTTTTTAACAAAATTTAATCTAAATTTTCCGACTCATCAAAAGTAACCAACTTGTCCAGATATAACAGCTGAACACAACTGCGGCATTTTTTCCACAATGGAAAAGATTGTACAGAAAGTCCCTGCTCACACCATTGCAGAAGTTCTTACAAATGTGTTGCACTTGAAGGTTACTTTGCATTCACCCTTCTGTCCAACTCACCCAGCATTTGTGTTGTATGCTTATAGCCCACAGGACACCGCCCCTACCATGAAAAAGTCGGTTGGTTGTGTTTGCCCACCAAGGCCAAAGGTTCCCAGTCCCCTGGCTGAAGCTCATTTCTGAGAGCGTCACATAAATTTAGAGATGGTCATTATCTCCACTTCATATAATTTTTTCTTACCTGTCAGCTGAAGGCAGCAGTGAAATAACAGCAAGGGCAGAAAGTTTTCTTCTCTCAGGCTGTGTAATGTTATCCATACGATCCACCCACATTTCAATTGCATTCCCAAGTACTAGGTTAGCCTACAGATTAAAGAAAAAGAAAAAACACTGAGTGTTCTACAGAACCCATCCTGGATTGCAGTGTAATCTGTCCTTTCTCCTGGGTCAACCGTACAATAAACAGGCTGAACAAACAGTTTTAACTGATCAGACCAGGATGCAATGAATGCCGGACTTTATATTTATTGTGGCAGTAATTCACTAGAAATAGGAAGAAGCGTGTTCTAACGCAACCCAGAGGCTCTTCTCTTTTGTAATTAGTGAATGAGAAGTCATTTCAATGAATGCTACACTGCAGTTATAGTGCTTATCCTACAGAACAATTAAAAACCTAGACCTTATCATTTGTCATGTAAACCAGAAACTCTAAGCTCATTACCTGGACGTTTCTGGAGAGTTATGCAGCAATTATATGTTCTGTTCCTTCTAATGACAACATAGCTGTAAGGTATATACAAGCTGTGTGAGAGAGAGGATGTGATCAGGGTATTTAGCTGAACACAAAGGTATCTACAAAATAAGTAGCAAGTTACTTCCATGTCACTGCCTATTCTGTTTGGGTTTGCACATCCAAGGAGTTAATGTTTACAGAGTTAATCAACTTCATTGGTGGATTTATCAAGCCCATTCATGAACCTCCTAATAATGAAAATACAAGCTCTACGTTATGTAGGGTACAGGCTTTCATTTTTTTCACTAAGTGCAACTCAGGCTCTCTCTCGTGTTTACATCTTCATCAAGTTCTTGGGAGAGCATTTAAAGCACTAACAGCTTCCAGTGAACTTCTAACATCGCTACACAAAGCAAGTAATTGCGCAGGTGGTTGGTAGGTATCCTATGGTGCAACAACCTACTTTCACAGAGCTTGCTCTTCCCTTTCCCAATACGGGCTAGATATGTCACCCCACTTTTCATGTGACAATGTTTGGCCCTGGTGACAAGTCATTGAGACACTGTGCATTGTGGCTTGAAAGAGAGTGTGCTTACTTGCCCTATACCAGGAGTTTGGGATTCTTAGGGAGCTCCAGCAGGTTATATTAGGGTGTTGGCCTTGCTCTGTAAAGGTACAACATAACATTGCAGAGCTCCTGCTGAACCGTTTTCCTCATAGTATACACTTTGCAGGATGGTATTGCAGGTTTTTGTTTTAAAAGAATTTATGGTGAAAAGACTACAAGCAACAAAACCAATGGGTTCTATATGTAACAAACCTTATATTGCCATTCAGCATAACTCTGTTTAAAAATACAAATATTACAAAGTGGTACTGTACTTTGAGCTATTTTCTTTTGGAAGAATGTAATATGAGCACGTAGCCTGAGCTCCAAGCCCATAAGAACTCCGGTGTTACAAAAAATTAAAAGTGAAGAAGTCGAACGGATGGAATTTCCTGATGCTGGTTAAGGCCCACCCTGTGGTTGAGCACCAATGCAGACAAAAAGATATATTCCACTCTTAAGAGAACCCATCTGTCGTTATTTTTATATCCTTTACATAGTGTCTCGTACACTGTAGACTTCCATAAGCCCCTGTTAAGTTAAGGACGATGTGAAGAAAACCTCCTCAAAATGTGTATTGAAAAAATTCAATGTACATAAAAAACAACAACTCTCTATTGGAGTAAGACTGCTTATTACATAAATATATTTTGGGGCAACACAAGGTAATGCAAATATCTACAAGTCACTTTAGATTCATAAATCAAGGACAAGCAGTATGCAGTCTGTATGTGACATGAAGTCTATTTTTTATTGCCCAACTGACAAAGTCCAATACAATTTTCTAATACTCACCTCCTGGTTGCATTCCTGTGACATTTGATTTAACAGAGAAAAAAAGCAGATTTTGTTTTGTAGAAGGACACGACCAAGAACTCCAAGATATGTCGACATAACAACTGGATATCTCTGTAAGGCAAAGATATTGGGAATATTTAGAAGTCAAGTGCCAATAATACTATCCCCCAAAAAAGTTCTGCACACGTCCTTGCAATAGTTCATCGGCTATCAACATACAGTATATAAAGAACATAAGAATATATTAAATGTACCATGTATCACCTTTGAACATGATAAAGGGCATGAATGCCTGAAAGGCCAAGTATGCAAGCTGCATGAAAATTTGACTAAGCACATACATGTGCAGCTCAACCTTTTTGTTCGTAATATATTAGTGTTGTCAGGACAGGAAGTAAGGGATAATCATACAATCATTTTAATTCCTTTATAAATCACAGTGTATAGGAAAGCTCCAGTCACATTTTTTTTGTTACATACAAGTAAACACAGAATAAGTAACGTTATAAAATAAGCCATTTACAAAGACAAAATATTTAAATTACCTCTCCTTCAAGAATACCCCTAAAGACTGGAGGCAAAAGGGCATGAAACATTTGTGGGCCAGTGTCAGGGTTCACCAGTAGGACATTCTCAACCACCTAAAAAAAAATAAGAATCATGCAATTATCCAAATGCATATTAGGTTGTGTGCATACATTTTTCTGTGTGGTTAATATTGAATATTGCCACATTTAAACTTATTTTCAAGCATGATCATAAAATCCATTTACAAAATACATTGATCTATACCAGTTATTGCCTGCCAATATTCTATGTTCTGTTCCTGTGCCACCCCCAATCCATTCCTGCTTCATGCTTTTCCCAACTCTTGTCTGACCTCTGCCTCTCCCAATCCTTGCCTGTCCCCTGCCTCTCTTGATGCTTGCCTGCCCCCTGCCTTTCCCATTCCTTGACGTTTCTTTGCCTCTGCCAATCCTTGCCTGCCCTCTGCTTCTCCTAATAGTAGTGGCAGCACAAGCACATAGGGTGGAAAGCAAGCTAGATTGTGTTTACTGTTGGAAAATCAACAGCATATATGTACCGATTGTATTACGGACTACAATATGTGTTTTGAGCTGTAGATGGCAGTGTAGTGCAATGCTAGTGTTTGTGTGGATGTTAATCTATGATATACAGGAAGTTCTCTCTGTATGCTGTATAATGCTATATTCTGATGTATTATTCTACCAAGCAAGTAAAACTTAATTTAGCATTCCTCAAGATCTCAAATCTTCATCTAAACACATAGCCAACAGGTTATGGGCCCAGGCACTAAACAGAACACTGCAAGTCAACATCTAAACTACTGAAAGATGGCAAGCAGTTCAGATATGAAGTTTGCAATCGCAGAGCTATTCGCACAGCAGCGCACAATACCAACTACCAGTTATGGAAGTTCAAGCTTGAAATGCTGCTAAGTAAAGACGCCTTGTGGCAAGTACTGAGTACAACAGACCCACTAATGGACTCGCAGAGGAATGGGAAGAAGAACAGGCAAGCAAAAGCAATAAGTCTGCTAGTGGAAGATGACCAGCTCATACACAGAAGAAAAGAGAATACAGCTAAAGGTATGTGGACAGCATTACAAAAACTACATGAGTGGTCAAACCTAAACAGTAAACTATATCAGCTACGCAAGCTATACAAGATGAGACCAGAAACAAGCCAACAAATGCATGAACAGCTGAATGCCATGCTGGAAATCGTAGAACAGCTATGTGCAATTAGAGAGGAAATTAAAGATAATAATCATATAAAGATAATAATCATGTGGTGGCATTACTGCTATGCAGCCTTCCAGAGTCATACAGTGCTCTTATTAACGCTCTAGAATCTGAGCAGGAACTAACAGTATAATACTCCAAAGGAAAATGAATTGATGACTATGACAGAGGAAAAGAAAATATGCACAATTAAGAAAGTGCGAAAGGCCTTAAAGGGCATGTTAGCGACAAAGGGAATACCACCCTGCAAGCTGTCATATGCTGCAAAGACACATAGCAAACTTGAACCAACATCATGGAACGACATAGAAAAATTACCAAAACGCAAAGCCAATCAATGCAGAAAGGTAGCAAAAGAAGAAATTACTGTGGATGCACTCACCAAGCCATTACTAAAGGATAGTCCCAGTTTCCTTCGAGAAAAGCTAAATGTCATATAGCAACTCATATGCTGTTGAGAAGGTGTGTTGGAAATGCAACAGCATAAATGTACTGATTGTATTACTGACTGCAATATGTCTTTTGAGCTGTAGATGGCAGTGTAGTGCAATTCTAGTCTATGCTATTCTTTGTGTGGATGCTTATCTATGATATACAGGAAGTTCTCTCTGTATGCTGTATAATGCTGTAAAACTTAATTCAGCATTCCTCTAATTTCATCTTTAATTCAGCATTTCATCTAAACACATAACCAATATTAACAGCCCTTTAGGCCTACCTGAATGCAAATCTGTAAGGTCCTTGCCTGTCCCCTGCCTCTCTTGATCCTTGCCTGTCCCCTGCCTCTCTTGATCCTTGCCTGCCCCCTGCCTCTCTTGATTCTTGCCTGCCCCCTGCCTCTCTTGATCTTTGCATTTCCAGATCCTTTCATGTTCCCATCCTTGCCTGTCCCTATCAGGTCCCAGTGCATGCATGTCCCCTGCCTCTCCCGATCCTTGCTTGTCCACAGCCTGTTCCCAACCTTGCCTATCCGATGCCTCTCCCGATCCTTGCCTATACCATGCCTCTCCCGATCCTTGCCTATCCCATGCCTCTCCTAATAACTAGCACAAGCAGATAGGGTGGAAGATAGGTCAGATCATGTTTACACCCCATTATGTCTACCTGAATGGAAATTAGTAAGATATATGACAATCACAGTACACATATAGACATTTTACAAGTGAACTCTGGAGCAATACATTGCAACACACAAGGTGTGATGTATATCTATATACTGTATTTTTGTAAGAACTGCAATTCTATGCACTGAAAACACATTAGAATGTATCCTGGTGTGAATAAGTCCTTAGGAGTAAAAGGCTCAACTATCATTCAGTATTAGAAGAACAACACTGCAATTACAAAGCACAAAGGACAGGTGCAAACTGCATCTATTCAGAAATCATCTCCTCACTAATCTCACACCTGCCAACTAAAAATGAACTGGCTGATATGCTCCTTACCATCATGTCTTTTATTGTAATTGTAATGTCTTCCTTATATTGTAAAGCGGTGCGCAAACTGTTGGCGCTATACAAATCCTGCATAATAATAATAATGCTGGACACTCTCTTTATACTTACACATACTTTACCTTATTCAAAAAGGCTCTATAAACATCACCACCATCTCAGCATAGAGAGTGAGGATCACAGCCAGGGCTCCTGCACCTTTATGAACAGAACCATACATGTTTTGTATGCGTCCAAGTTCAGTTTTATAGTTAAGTGCTACAGGTAAGCATATTATTACACTAATATCAAAATATAGTAAAACCTTCTTAGTTGAAAGACACAACTGGGATGATTTACTAAGCAAGCTTAGTACATAGGGTAAAGCTGTGCTCACGTGTTACCAAATGATGTGCAAAGAGGAAAACATTATTTTTGACAAAGTAACAATGGCAGCCACTAATGTATTTAAAACTAGCAAAAAGGAAGAAAACTGCAGATTGGCTTTGCAAGATAGACAAGATACTAAACAGTATTCCCTTGCATACTTTCTAGCTAGTCAGGAAGAACAAAACTAAATAAACCCTTTTCAACATCTCAGGTTTAAATCTGAGGATTTTGTTGCATACATTTGCAAATACATTTGAAGCCACATGAAAGCATCTTTGTATATTGTTATCCTTAAATCCCATCTCCAGGGAAACAAAAAACCTTTCCTTGCAGTGGGGCAACTTTCGTACTGCAACGGTTAACTGCTCATTTATGTCTAGGGGATTGTGAAGAGCAGTCTTACTTACCTGATCCACCCCCCACCCCCGCTGGCTCCAAGACAATCGCCTGCAGCCAGTTCCCCACTCCGCTCTGGCGGTCAGAGGTGACAAAATCACATCTAATGTAGGACCCAAATCCCTGCATTACATGTAAAGAGACAGTCCACAAACCAGAGCACAGGAGAGAGAGGTGAGCACCAACCACCAGGGGAGCGGGGATCAGGTAAGTAAACGCGCTTTACACTATATTCTAGACATTATCAAGCAGTTAACCCTTGCAGTGCAGGGGTAGCTCCACTGCATGGGGAGGCTTTTGTTTGACCAGGCATAGGCTTTAACTCTAAACTATGTAATCTCCCAAATGGGGGCATACAGTGGCTTGCAAAAGTTTTTTGGGGGGTTTGTATCATTTGATTTACACGACATGCCTAGCACTTTGAAGATGCAAAATATTTTTTAATTTTTTATTGTGGTACAAAATGAAATAGGACAGAAAAAAACAAAACCGGAGCGTGCTAACTATTTACACCCCTAAAGTCATTACTTTGTAGATCCATCTTTTGCAGCAATTACAGCTGCAAGTCTCTTAGCGTATGTTTCTAGAAGCTTGACACATCTGGCCCCAGGGATTTTTTGCCCATTCTTCAAGGCAAAACTGCTCCAGCTTCTTAAGGTGGATGGGTTTCGCTGGTGAACAGCAATCTTTACGTCATGCCACAGATTCTCAATTGTATTGAGGTCTGGGCTTTGACTAGGCCATTCCAAGAAATGTAAATGTTTCCTCCTAAATCACTTGAGTGTTGCTTTAGCAGTATGCTTAGGGTCATTGTCCTGCTGGAAGGTGAGCCTCTGTCCCAGTCTGAAACAGGTTTCCCTCAAGAATTCCCTGTATTTAGTGCCATCCATCATTCCTTCAATTCTGACCAGTTTCCAAGTCCTTGCCGATGAAAAAATCCCCACAGCATGATGCTGCCGCCACTATGCTTCACTGTGGGGATGGTGTTCTCTGGGTAATGAGAGGTCTTGGCTTTGCGCCAGACATAGTGTTTTCATGGAACTTTCTTGCTGGTTTTTTTTATGAGGTAGGTTGCCAGGTCTTTCCTCAGCCCCCCCGCCCTATTTACATGGGCTTGGAACAGGCATGCAGAATGTAATAACCAAGTCATGAACCATTTAACCTACCAATGTGTCTTTGGACATCTATAATGAATAATAGTTTATTTTTTTATTAAACAAAAAAAAACCGTTATTGTTTTATACAGTCTTCTTATCGAAGACCAAACACTGAAAACAAAATGCAGGACTAACCTAGCTAAGCTACCAGCTTGCAAAAATTAATGCTAGAGCTTCATACAGTGGTTACTATATGGAATATTCATCAGAATATGGCAGTTTCATTTTTCTGGCCAGTGAAGAGCGTAAAACTTCACAAGAATAATAAATAACAACAACCTTTAGCAACGAACAACTAACTGTCAATAAACCTTCAGTAGCCGCATGGCTTTGCTCAGAATAATATGTTCAAGCTCATACACAAGGAAGTTTAAGTTATGGAGCTGAGAAAATCATTCATATGATAGATTTAAAGAAATTCCTTTGGACAAAAAAATTCAATTTAAGTGCATCCAGCAGCTTATGCGGTTAACAAATTGAGTTTATTCATGTTTGAAAA